AACAGTGCTAATAAAGTTCTTTCCTCAAAATGAGCCTTAACTGTTGAATGATTTTTTACTGGGATACCAGATTTCTAGGAATTCCATTTTTTACATAGAAAGTTATTCATGTGAGGCTCTTTGAGTTAATGCATGGTGAAAACTCAACCCTCTAACCTGATTTTTTAGAAATAAATTTAAATAGTATATATCTAAGTTGAAAGACTAGTTCTTATCTCAGAATTGTGAATATTAAATGAATGGGGAATGAAGCATCTGTCACACTGCCCTGTCACCACAAGCACTACTCCCCTGCTTTAACTGCCGTGCAGGTTTACCTTCTGATGCATGACTATTCCATCTCTTTAGAGGCTTTTTCCTGGTTTCAAGAGTAGGGAGATAATTAAGATAGTTGAAATACCAGCATCAATGCATTCCAACTACAGTGGTTTATACCTGTAGTGTTCAGCTATTCTTAGAGCAGCCTCAGCTCTTAAGCTTCAGCTGCATTTTTGAGATGCAGACAAGTTCTTGGAGCATAAGGCAAACCCTGGTTGGGTAGAAGTTATTTTTTTCCGTTGGTCAAGTGCCTGAAATAGCTACTAAATTGTAGTAAGTTTAGCTGTAATCTGCTGGGATGAGTACGTGGGACAAAGCTGACTGATACTGCTCTGTGTTTTTTTTTTTTTTTTTCCCAACTGAGTTGGAACACAAATACCGTTGCTATCTGCCTGTATGAAATTGTAGTCTGGCATACCAGCATATTTCAAGAATCTCATTTGCTTCAGATTTTTTTCTATCAGATTATGCCATAAAATACATATTTCTCTTTTGTAGCTCAAACTGGAAGATTATAAAGATCGCCTAAAAAACGGAGAGCAGCTTAACCCAGACCAGTTGGTAAGTAGCTTGAGATTATTTGTTAGATATACTGGTCTGCTTTCTTTTCTTTTTTTGTTTATTTTTTGAGGCAACGTTTCTCTGTGTAGCCCTGGCTGCCCTGAAACTCACTGTGTAGACCAGACTGGCTTTGAACTTACAGAGATCTGCCCTGCCCGTGCATACTATTAGATGATATTGGCTAGATATGGGTTAAATAGAACAAGTTAGATTAGATAAGGTACCATGTACATTGAACTTAATTCGTGGTAGGAAGACTGAGTATACTCAAGTTTTCAACTCTTCACTGGTTTAATATAAACTTGACATCTTTCTATTCTAAAATCTGTTTTTGTAGCTTTGTCATGATTCTGACTTGCTCTCTTTTAATTTCTTTTATACTTGAGTTATGTACTTAGCCTTTTAAACATTAACTTCACTATAAATATTGACTATAATTTTTCTTATTTTGAACTCATAGTGGTACTTCTGCATTGCCCTATGAAATTCTGGCATTGCAGGCCACACAAGGCACCATGCCCAGCTACAATTTTTTTTTTTCATGTTTGCCCTGTTCATGATATACCTGTTAATTCCAAATATTACTAGTTTGTGAAGGAGAACATTTACAATATGGACTAAAAAATTCTTTATGGTTATTTGATGTTTTGGCCTGATCACATTTCCTGCCTTTTAAGAAGGGACAAAGTGTGCCTAAAGTTATTTAAGATTTATTTTTTAAAATGTATGTGTATGCATGTATATCTTTGTGTGGGTATGTGCATGTTAGTTCAAGTGCATGTGGAGGCCAGAAGAGGTATTGGATCCCCTGAAGATGTAGTTACAGGCAGTTCTGAACTGCTCAATGTGGGTGATAGGAACCAAATTCACATCCTTGGGAAGAGCAAGTGCTTTTTAACTGCCAAGCAGCCCCTCCAGACCTGAAGTTATTTGATCTGGCTCATGAGCCTGTTAACATTTCCCTCCTTGCTGTGTTGTCATCTTCTCTGACCTAGAAGTCCTATGGTGTAGTAATTATGATTCTATTGAGGCTTAGCTTTGAATTATGTGAGCTCTGAGCACCCTCTACATAGTGAAGGGACTTGGCTAATCAGCCATCATTTATTTCCTTGGTTTTGTTTTCATGCTCTGTCCACTAACTTAAAATGTGGAAGCTTCTCTGTAAGAATCCCAGAAGTTCTGTTAGAATCGTATCATTGAGGCGCTTTTGATGTGAACTTGGTTAAAGTGCTTGCTGCATAAGAATGAGATCCTGAGTTCAGTCCTGGAGTCCATGTAAAAAAGTTGGGTGTTGTGGGGTGTGGTGTGATGTGGTGGTGCACTCTTTTTAAGATCTATTTATTTATTTATTTATTTATTTATTTATTTATTTATTTATTATGTGTACAGCATTCTGCCTGCATGTGTGCCTGTAGGCCAGAAGAGGGCACCAGATCTCATTACAGATGGTTGTGAGCTACCCTATGGTTGCTGGGAATTGAACTCAGGACCTCTGGAAAGCTGTCAGTGCTCTTAATCTCTGAGCCATCTCTCCAGCCCCACACTCTTGTAATCATAACCCTGGAGTGGTGGAGACAGATCCTTGGGGCTTGCTGTCTAGTCAGGCTAACCTATTTGGCAAGTTCCAGGCGAGTGAGAGAACCTATTTCAAAAAACAAAATAAAAAAAGCCCCAAAACCAAAAAACAAAGCAACAAAATGAAAACAAACCAAAAACAGTGGAGAACTGTAGAGATTGGTGCTTAAGAACTCTTATTACTCTTCTAGAGAACCTGAGTTCAGTTCTCAACACTCATGTCACTCAGCTCACAACTGTCTGTAACTCCAGCTCCAGGGAATCTGATACTTTTGCATCCTTGGTTACCAGTATTTATATGCACATGCCAATACACACACACATATTTATCATTAAAAATAAATGTTAGGGGCTGGAGGGATGGCTCAACAGTTCAGAGCACTTACTGCTTTACTAGAAGACCAGGTTTAATCACATGGTGGCTCACAATCATCTGTAACCAGTTCCAGGGTATGTGATGCCATCTTCTGGCCTCAGTGGCCACCAGGTACACAAGTGTTACACAGACATACATATAGGCAAAACACCAATACACATTAAATTAAAATAAAAAAAAAAATCCCCCAAAACACCAATGACCTAGGCTTGGTGGCACATATCCTTAATCCCAGTGCTGCGGAGACAGAGGCAGGCAGATCTCCGAGTTCTCTGAAAGAGCACACAGGGTTTATAACTGCCAAGCTATCTCTTCAGTACCATGAATAATCTTTTTATGTATATTGACATATACATTTATGTAGAAATGTTTTGTTTTGAGTAATGTTTTCTAGGAGTAGAATAATACACTATCTGTATATGTGTGTGTGTATTTTTTAAATATATATTTACTTACTTTGTGGATGTGTGAAGGTCAGAGAACAACTTATAGTAGTCCTTTCTTTTCTCTGTGTGGATTCTAGGAATTGAACCCAGGTTGTCAGTTATGGCAGCAATCATATTCACCCACCAAGCAATCTGTTGATACTACTACACTATCTGAATTATTGAGACTCCAATATAGTTTTAACTGCTTGAATAAGTTCCCTAACTTGTTCTGTCCCAAGTGGACCTTTTTCTTCATTTTAAGTTAAAAAGGGTCTGGGCATGGTGACACAAACCATTAATCCTAGAATTCAAGAGGCAGAGGCATGTGTAGATCTCTGAGTTTGAAGCCACCATGGTCTAAATAGTGAGTTCCTGGAGTGTCAGATCTTTATAGTAAAACAACAACAACAACAACAACAACAACAAAACAAAGCAGAACAAACAAAAAAAGCAAAATTACATTTATTTATTGGTATGAGTGTTGTGGGGAGGTCAGAGGATAGTTTGTGGGAGTTAGTTCTTTTCTTCCACCGTGTAATTCCTGTGGATCAAAGTTGGTAGTCAGGTTTTGCAGCAAGTGCCTTTACCCACTGAGCCATCTCATCATCTGGCTCCAAACTGACTTTTGTCTTTCTCCACAAAAAGTTAAGACAAACTCATCTCTTCTGATTACCAGTTGAGTATGAAATCTTTTATTTATTTATTTTTAGTCACTTTATGTGTATGAATACATATGTTTGTGTCCTGCATATGTTTGTGTCCTGCATGTGTGTGCTTGGTGCCTGTAGAGGTAGAAGGAAGTGATGGATCTCCTAGAACCGGAGTTACAGATGGTGTGAGTCATGACATGGTTACTGTGAACCAAACCCAGGTCCTTTGCAAGAGCAACAATTGCCTTTTACCTTAAGCCATTTTTCCAGGCCCTGTAATATGAAATCCTTGTTTTTGTTTTTTGAGACAGGGTTTCTTTGTATAGCCTTTGCTGTGCTGGAACTCACTCTGTAGATCAGGCTGCCTCAAACTCATAGAGATCTGCCTGCTTCTGCCTCCTGGGTGCTGGGAATAAAGGTGTCTGCCACCACAGCCTGGCATGGTATGAAATCTTAAAAGAAGTTACTTCTTTAATTTCAGTAGGATAGTGCTTGTTATAATACTTATGATATCTATTACAAGCAATTATTTACACATTGTTTCTGCCATTTTTTAGATGTTTCACAGTTGCTCTTCTTCTGTGTGATATTTATTATTCCTATAGTACGTTTGAGTGGTGAATGATGTTGACTGAGGAATCTTAATGGCTTAGTGTTCTCAAAACCCATAGAGATCTCTAACTTAAATGTTTAGATAGGATAGAATTAGGACTCTGATTTTTTTATTTTGTTACATGTGTGTATGTGTATGTGGGGGGCCAGATGGCAACTTGCTGAAGTTGGTTTTCTCCTACCATGTGGATCCTTGGGATTGAATTAAGCTCTTCAGGTTTGGCAGCAAGAACTTTTACCCACTGAACCATCTCAATGGCCCAGGGCTCTGATTTCTAATATAAAAATTAGAGGTTTAGCTTGGTAGTGTATCTAAAGATATGCTTGAGGGATTGAGGCATGGGAATCGTAAGTTTGTGTCTAGCCTAGAATACGTACGAGTTTTATGCCAACCTGAGATCCAGTGAGAACCTGTCTTTAAACAAACAAAAGTAGAGGCAGGTGGATCTCTGTGAGTTTGAGACCAGCCTGGTCTACAAGAGCTAGTTCCAGGACAGCCTCCAAAGCCTCAGAGAAACCCTGTCTCAAAAAAAAACCCAAAAAATAAGTAAAAAATAAAAAAAATAAAATAAGCAAACAAAAGTTCTAGCATTAAAATAGACTTTTTATATTACTTTACCTTGTAGATACCGTTTCTTTCAGTAAGTACTTTTCTAACTTACAAAGTCCTATCTCCTTTATCAATTAAAAATGATTTATGTTTATTTGTATGTGTCTGTTTGTGTATGGGAATGTATATCCAGGTGTCCAGAAGAGGGTGTCACATCTGTTAGTGCTGGAATTATGGTGACTGCCTGATATGGTTGCTGGGAACTCTGATCCTCTGGAAGAGCAGCATGTACTCTTAACCTCTAGGCCATCTCTCTAGCCCTTTAGCCATTTAGGGAACACTTATTTATTCTGAGCTTACCACGGATTTGCTGGGGTTTTTTTCCTGTCTGGTAGGAAGCTGTGGAGAAGTATGAAGAAGTACTACATAATTTGGAATTTGCCAAGGAGCTTCAGAAAACCTTTTCTACACTGAGCCAAGATGTGAGTATGTTTTCATTGCTTTTCTTTGAGCCACTTTAGCTGCTGACGTTGAAGAATATGCCACTACCTAAAAATTGTGTTTGCTTATCAGTCATCTGAAACCATGTGGATAGTATACTGAGGAAGTCTCACTAAGACTCCTAGGAAGTCCTTGAACTCAATATGTAGCCCAGACAAGCCTGGAAATTGTGATTCTCCTGCCTCAGCCACTTGAGTGTCTGGGATTATAGGTGTGCACAGTTGTGCCTGGCTCTAGACTATTTTTAATTTTCTGCTAAATTTATTTAGGCTTGGTATTCTTGACTTTGAAGAGATTTTTGTTTGTTTTTTTGAGACAGGGTTTCTCTGTAACTTTGGATCCTGTCCTGGAACTCACTCTGCAGATTTTGAACTCACAGAGATCTGCCTGTCTCTGCCTCCTGAGTGCTGGGACTAAAGGCGTGTGCTATCACTGCCCTGTGTGTTCTTTTTCTTAGGGCACTCATATATGTTCTTCCACCATGGTGCTCTAGAGATGTCACCTACTTTGGCAAGCTATGCTGTGTAGTTTGACTTTCCTTTTGGGCTGACAGCCCCCAAACAATGACATTGAGACTTAATAATTATGAAATCTTGACCTTTAGCTTAGGCTTGTTCCCAACTAGTTCTTATAACTTAAATTAATCAGTTTCTGTCAAACTATGTTCTATCATGTGGCTTTTTACCTCTTTTCCATTCAGTATGTCTGACTTTCTCAGTTTTTCACTGGCATCTCCTGCACACCAAGGTTCTAACCCTCTAAGTTCCTTTCTCTGCCTGGAAGTCCCACCAACCTCTCCTGTCTAGCTATTGGCTGGTCAGATTTTTATTAAACCAATCACATCGACACATCTTCACACAGTGTAAAAAAATATCCCACAACAATGCTGATTCCATGAAAGCAGTTTCTTTTTTTGGTGCTTTTTTTTTAAAAAAATAATTTTTTAATGGTCATTGGTGCTTTGCTTGCATACATATCTGTGTGAGCACGTCAGATGCCCCTGGAACTGGAGTTGCAGACAGTTGTGAGCTGCCATGTGGATGCTGAGAATTGAACCAGGATCCTCTGGAAGAGCATTCAATGCTCTTAACCGCTGAGCCTTCTCTTCAGCCCCCATGAAAGCATTTTCACTTGTTGCCCATGCTTTATATCTTTTCCTCCCTCCCTCCCTCCTTCCCTACCTCACCCTTGAGACAGGTTCTCACTATTTAGCACTAGCTGGTCTGGAACTCACTCTATAGACCAGGCTGGCCTAGAACTCAGAGATCTGCCTGCCTCTGCTTTCCCAAGTGCTAGGATTAAAGGTGTTCATTACCATGCCTGGGCACTGCTTCAGATTTCTTTCTCCTCATAATGTGACAGTAGGTCTAGAGCTTGCTACAACCCCATCTCATCCCATTTGAAGTATTTTTAGATTAACTTACTTTACATGTGTGTTTTGATTGCATCTATGTGTCCATGTGCATACCTTGTGTTTGAGGAGGTTGTCAGATAGTTACAAACCACCATATGGGTGCTGGAAACTAATAGACCTAGGGTCCTCTACAAGAGGTCTATTAGCTGAGCCATCTCTCCAGCCCTGAGCTTGTCTTCTTGAGTCAAGCCTTCAAGGTGTTTGTCATTACCTTCCTATTCCTTTTTCTCGTAGTTTTTGGGCTGCTTTAAACTTTTGTTGTCACGTCAATAGATTGTGGAACATCTTGTTCTTTTATCCTCAGTCTAACTACATTCTTCTTAGTTTCTTGAGATGATTTCTGTTCTTAGCCAAAATCCATTATACTAAGTAATGGTTTGGAAAATAAACTTTTGTTCAGTATTGCTGATTGGATTGTTCATGTGTTTTCCTTTTCAAACTGATCAACAAAGAAGAAAAAGGTGTAAGATTTTCTTAGTTTCTACATAGGTAAAGACAAGAAAGCTGTTAGTGGTTTTCATGAGATCTGATCATGAGCTAGGAGACAGTGTAGTTAGTTGACTTGATTTATTTAACAGGTATTTGAGTTCTTGTTACATATCAGTCTCTGTGCCAGGCAGTGATGTATGGATGAATAACCAAAATATAGTCTCTGTCATTATGAATGCAGAAAAATAAAAGTGACAACTAGGGACTGGAGGTGTAGTTCATTAGGTAAAGCACTAGCTTAGCGTCTGCATGGCCCTAGGTTTGATTCCCAGCACTGCCAAAAAGCAATAAATAGATAAATGAATTATACACATGACTATTTGATGTGACAAAGACTTTGCTGGAGGACTTTCAGGTTGGCATAAACCCATAGAACATCTAATCTAGTTTTGGGAAATAGGCTAAAGAGAAATATGAAGTAATGAAGTGGTATGTATGTGTTTATTTCTGTGTGTTGTGTGTATGTATTCATGTGTATATGTGCCTGTGTGTGGAGACCCAATATTGACTTTGGATTTCTTCTTTGATTATTCTCTACTTTATTGAGATAGTGTCTCACTTGAATCCAGAGGTTGCCTATCAGCTAGTCTAGTAGCCAGTTTCATGAGGGATCCCATCACTGCCTCCTGAGTGCTTAGTGTTACAGGCAGCACCATGCCTGCCTGGCTTTTAAGTGGATCCTGGGGATCTGAATTCTTTTTTTTTTTTTTTGGTTTTTCCAGACAGGATTTCTCTGTGTAGCTTTGGAGCCTATCCTGGCACTCACTCTTGAGTCCAGGCTGGCCTCGAATCACAGACATCTTCCTGCCTCTGCCTCCCGAGTACTGGGATTAAAGGTGTGCGCCACCAACGCCTGGCGGGGGATCTGAATTCTAATCATCACACTTTCCCTTGGGCAAGCCCCTTAATCACTGAACCGTCTCCCCAGCTCTATGATGTGTATGTGGTTGTGAAGACATTTTGGTTAATTAGAGTGCAAAGCTAACCACACTAGCCATAGAGTCCAGGCAGTGGTGACACACACCTTTATTACCAGCACTTGGGAGACAGAGGCAGACAGATGTCTGTTAGTTCAAGGCCACTCTGGGCTACACGAGATTGAATCTGTCTAAAAGAGAAACAGAGCTCACACAAAGGTGATCCCAGCACTTCGAATCCCCCGCCTTTAATCTTAGCACTAAGGAGTGGAGACAGGAAGTGATACAGCTGGGTGGAGAGGAATATAAGGTGGGAGAAGACAGGAGCTCAATGCAGTCTGAGTCTGAGGAACAGTGCATCTAAGCAGTCTGAGGATTTGCTTCTCTGATATTTAGCATTAACCCCAATATCTGACTTGGCGGTTTTTTTTTTTTTTTTTTTTTTTTTTTTTTTTTTTTTTTTTT